CCCCCCCCTCTTCTCTTTGTCCACGTGGTTTCTGAACGGCAACACAGATGTCGCACCCACGTTTCAGACACTTGAGCCTCGATTGATTTCTGCAGGTGTGGAGGCGTCGCAGCAACGAGTCGGCCTTCCAGTGGGGCACCATCGGCATGACGAGCCTGGACGAGCCGCGGCCCAACTTCCACGGCACCATGATGCGCGACACCGTCACGGGCCGGCTGCTGCCGCAGTTCCCGCGCCGCACCACCTCCATCCGCATGTACTGCGTGTCGCTGCCCATCGTGGTGGTCTGCCTGTTCCTCGCCTTCCTGGTCATGCTGGCGTCCTTCTACGCCGAGGAGCGGCTCACGCAGCTCGCCAAGGACCCCGAGTCGGGCGTCACCTCGCTGACCGTCATGCTGCCCTCCGTCGTCTACTCCATCCTCGTCTACATCGTCAACCTGTACTACCGCCAGCTGGCCACCTACCTCACCGAGTGGGGTAAGTCCCGCCGCGCGCTGATGTGGCCCCTGATCCAATTTATCCAAATCCAATTGGAAGGTGTCGGTGCGGGTGGAGTAGGAACACGGGGATGCGCCGTATGACTGTGCCGGCCTTGCACGTTCAAAAGCTAAATTCTACTCCCCATTATGTATTTTGGTCAATTTCCCCCTTTTGACCGCTTTTCAACCCCGTGTCTGCAGAGAACCACCGAACGCAGTCGCAGTTCGAGCGGCACCGCGTCATCAAGCTGGTGGCGTTCGAGTTCGTCAACACGTTCATGGCGCTGTTCTACATCGCGTTCGTCTACCAGGACATGGACATGCTCCGGTACCAGCTCGCCACCATGCTCATCATCCTGCAGGTGGTGAACAACGCGCAGGAGGCGGTGCTGCCCCTGGTGATGCGCTGCCTCAGCAAGGTGAGGAAGGGGTAGTGTGCGGCGGGTTAGTAGCGGCCAACGTCGTCACACCGATGACACTCTGAACCGTCGTGGACTGTCTGCTGCAGGTGCCCTCGCCGCCCCGGGTGCCCGAGTCGTCGAGCGTGCGCACCGTGTCCTCTGCCGGCGACGGCGGCGGCAGCGGCCTCCGCTACCGGGGGCTGACGCGCGCCTCCACCAACGAGCTGTACCCGGGCGTGCCCGAGGTGCTGCAGGGCATCCCGGAGCTGGAGCCGGACGACCCGCGGCAGCGGCAGGCGCTGGCCGAGGGCGCCATGGACGTGTACGAGGGCACGTACGACGACTACCTGGAGGTGTTCATCCAGTTCGGCTACGTGTTCCTGTTCTCGGCCGTGTACCCGCAGGCGGCGCTGTGGGCGCTGCTCAACAACCTGATGGAGAGCCGCGTGGACGCGTTCAAGCTGTGCCGCCTGTTCCAGCGGCCACTGGCGCGCAGGGTGAAGGACACGGGCGCCTGGCAGGTACGTGTGGGGTAGCTTTCGCTTTGCCTCGGCCGGGGGTCGGGTCGATGAGACGCGAGACGCGCTCACCGGTGCCGCTGTTGCAGCGCGCCTTCGAGGCCGTGGGCGCCATGTCCATCATGACCAACTGCGGGCTGCTGTGCGTGTCGCCGCCCATGCGCCGCCTGGCCCCGGACCTGTCGCCGACGCAGTGGGTGCTGCGCTGGGTGGCCGTCGAGCACCTGCTCATGGGCGTGCGCTACGTCCTGCACCAGGCCATCCCGGACAAGCCCGAGTGGGTGCGCGTCGCCCTGGCCAAGCTCAACTACCAGAGCAAGCAGGCCCTGCGCAAGGAGGTGAGCAAAATTGTTGTGCTTTCGGTCCCATCCAGAAACTACGTCCGTCATTTCCCAAACGTGCTAAATTGAGCCGCTGCGGCTGCGAGCTGTCATAGCGCCTTGTAGGTAGGCAACGTATCGCCTGCAATGCACGCGTGTAGTGCGGGGTGGCCCACCCGGAATATCGCAGGCGCCAAGCTCCCGCAAATCGCCGATCGAATTTGAGAAACACGGTCGTACTCTCTGGATGATCCCTTACTCGTCTTGTTTGTTTCTTGCTAATGGAACGCTCTCGGTTGTTTCAGCGTGCGCTCAAGAGACGCATGTCATCGCGACGCTCGCCCAAGAAACCCTTAGACTGATCACGACGCCGTGCGCTCTCGACTCGACTGATATGGTAACTCTGCGTCCGTCTCTTCCACTCGCGCAGAGCCGCTGCTGCGAGCAACTGTTTTTAATTAACGAGTCTGTTCCCGTCTGCTGTACGTACTTACCCAATGTCTTCTCCCGTCTGTCTTTTATAGTTATGTAATTGTTTTTTTACATTTTATAATGATTGTGAAGTGTTGTTTAATATTCCCCACCGCTGGCTTGTGGGGTGCGTTATTCGCAATTGACTGTTTTAAATAAAATTGTTTTCTTTTTTGTGAGCGTTTGCGGCCGTTGGTATTTGCATGACTTTCTCGCGCACAGCGCGCACACTGGGCGCGCGGCGCCGAGCTGACCGATTGAGAAAGATCGGCCCCAGGTTGCGCTCCAGTGAGGACACTTGTAGGGCAGCAAGCAGCCAGCTGGAAACTCACTTTTAACACGTTGAATCCGGGGGGGGGGGGGGAAATCACGTGTTATGTGACCATACGTGTGGTCACGTGACTCAACGCGTGTTATTTTGAAACAGATGAACGTACCAGTGGAGCCAAAGGGTATCTCATAATCACAAGAATTAATCTGGTAAGTTTTGAGGTTCTACGTAACGTTAACACAAAATATCCATACATCCCCCCTCCCCCCGACGGAAATCGGTGGATTTGCAGACGATTTCCAAATCGTCTTCAGGGGATTTAGACAGGAATCGAAAATCCTACAAAATCTCGAAAACGGGCATTACAGAGACATTTATGCAACACTATGAGGAATCGTAATGTCTCATAAGAGGCATTCATCAAGAATCTACGGGAATCATGAAATCGCTTTGAGAGGCATTGCAAAGCCTGTTGAATGTCTGACCGAATTCGCACAGCCGTTTACGTGCCTGTCGAAAGCCTCTCGAATTCCTCTTTAAATCCTCAATGGTTCGGTGCGCGGCACGACTGCGCATGTTGCCCGCCATCCCCCGCTTGATTCTGCCAATGGATGCAGGGCTCAGAGAAAGGTGAAAGTAGGCAGATTTTGGATTAATTTCTAAAAGGTACAGGGGAAATTGTTTTTGTTTTATTTGACCCTTCTTTGCCTCCACCAGCTCCTTCTCTTCCTCCCCTGCGCTCCCTCTCCCCCCTCCCCCATCAAGCATTCTCTCTTCTATTTAGCTACACGATTGTAGCTACAGCCTACAGGGCCCGAGTCAGCTTAAACTGAACCGTTTATAGACGAATTCATTACTTCCGCCAACGCCAGAATACCAACCAGAAGTAAACAGCGCTAAGAACTACAGCGAAAACGAAAGATATCAATGCCTCTTCGAAACTCTCGCCTTGTCCAAGCAAGCGCGCGGAGGGACAGGCGGCCGCGTGGGCTCGATTCAGGAAAGCATTGCCTACCCTCCAGGTGTTTTCAGCGCCAATCATCGACACGGCGTCACCTCTTAGCTTTAGAAAGGATTTATGAGCCCGGGGTCAAAAGGAGCCTAAACCCATAGTCCCCGTCACGACGGACGCCTTAGAGAGAATCCGTGGCCTACCTCGCAGGCGTCCAAGCGACAACTCGTGGTAGTAGACACGTCCCTGTTTATGGCCACAAATGGGGCAACAAACGATGTCCGACGTCCGACTCCACCAGCCACACGCCCCTTTTTTTTCAGCTGAACAGTTGTAGCCACAGTCGACACGACCGCATGCAGCTACATCCGAACCAACATTGTCGGCCCTAAGATCATAGTTCGAATCCCGTCCGCGATCATTTTTCCTGCTCTGCTGGCCAAGTGTCTTCGAGCGTCAGATACAGCTGAGATCTGGATGCCCCCAAAAGATGTGCTCACTATCGTTCCTTCGTTGCCAAGTCGGTAGCGTCCGGGCCCGGTATGAACCTGGTCTCTGGCTCGAATCTCGTCGTCGTGATATTTTTCCCGCTCCGCTGGCCATCACTTTACAGCCGTGCGACACCTGATGTGATGGGCCGGTAACGCAAACAGTCGCTGGTTCGAATCTAGCCAACGGAACCCTTTTGCCCCTCTGCCGGGATGTGGTGAGCCACACCGGAGATGAGCTTCATCAACGCAAAAGCCTCATTGGCTCAGTTGGTAGGGCGGGCGCCCGGGACGCGCATGGTCGTGGGTTCGAATACTGACCGAGGCTCATATTTTTCCATTTAGTAGTTTGCGGCGCGGGGACCAAGGTTTAGGACAGAAGACCAGCCGACGCGGGGAGGTGGACTTGACCGCCGGCTCAGCAGCCCCCCCCCCTCCGAAAAAAAAGAGAATCGGTCTGTTCGCCCCAACGAGGACTCGAACCCAGGGCCGACGGTGACTTGTGCACCGCACCCCTGCGCGCTCGCCACTCGGCTGGTGGGTCAACTGGTCAGCGGAGAGTTCAGAACTCGGTCCTGATTTACGAGTCTTGGTCTCCCGGATTGCACGCGTTCAGGTCGGGTCAAG